TGAATATCCCTTTCAAACTCTGTGACCAACTAGACTGCCAGACAATATCTCGTACAGCTGGAAATGAATAATAGTAACATATAAGCAACAAAGTGAAATTATGAGAAACTTTATAAGCCCAGTAATTCTCAATCTACCTATTTACTTGTCTCAGTTTACTTGATTCTGTAGTGTCTTTCCCCTACAGAATATAAAAAAAAAAAGAAGAATTCTTTAAAATAGAGAAAGTTTTAGATTTTTTTCACGTAGTCTGTTTCTATGCAAGTTTAGTGTAAGCACATAGAAAACCACCCGAAGTCGCTTTTGTGTCTTTGTCTGCTATAGCGTATATTATCTACTCAGCAAATATGTAAACCAAAATAATGCCTTTTTTCTTGATAGCAGATATTCTGGCCACCAAATTGATTGGAAATCAACAAGAATTTTATACAAAACTGATAACTACATAAAAAGAAGAATCGTCAAAAGTTGTTTAATCAAAAGCCTGCCTAATTTCAGCCCCTCCCTAGGTCATTTAACAACTTCATGACCTCCTGTGTCATTAAAGCAATTCTAAGATCAGGGGTCGCGTAGGTGTTTATTGACCAGTTTTCTCCTGCCAGAAAACAACATGAGACTAAAGAGTACAAACTTCTGACAGTTTGTTCCATTTACTGTGGTTTTCCACTAATTGCAGCATCCTTTGCCGACTGAGTGGATGATGTTTGTATGTTACAGCTGCCAAATGACCACTCGCATAACAAAAAAAGAACCAAGGTTTCCTGTATCAGTACAAAGCCTTAAGCATAAGTACTTCAAAGATTTACATCAAAAGAAGAAAGCTGTCGATTGATTCACGGGTCCGTTAGAGACAATAATTTTATTATTTGTTTGTAATGAAGATTACATCAAAGGAGAAAGCTGTCGACTGATTCACGGGTCCGTTAGAGACAGAAGTTTTATTATTTGTTTGTAATGAAGATTACATCAAAGGAGAAAGCTGTCGATTGATTCACGGGTCCGTTAGAGACAATAATTTTATTATTTGTTTGTAATGAAGATTACATCAAAGGAGAAAGCTGTCGATTGATTCACGGGTCCGTTAGAGACAGAAGTTTTATTATTTGTTTGTAATGAAGATTACATCAAAGGAGAAAGCTGTCGATTGATTCACGGGTCCGTTAGAGACAATAATTTTATTATTTGTTTGTAATGAAGATTACATCAAAAAAGAAAGCTGTCGATTGATTCACAGGTCCGTTAGAGACAGTAGTTTTATTATTTGTTTGTAATGAAGATTACATCAAAGAAGAAAGCTGTCGATTGATTCATGGGTCCGTTAGAGACAATAGTTTTATTATTTGTTTGTAATGAAGATTACATCAAAGAAGAAAGCTGTCGACTGATTCATGGGTCCGTTAGAGACATTAGTTTTATTATTTGTTTTTAATGAAGATTACATCAAAGAAGAAAGCTGTCGATTGATTCACGGGTCCGTTAGAGACAGTAGTTTTATTATTTGTTTGTAATGAAATTACATCAAAGAAGAAAGCTGTCGATTGATTCACGGGTCCGTTAGAGACAATAGTTTTATTATTTGTTTGTTTCACTTTACGTTATATGTGTCCAGTCTCCTTATTTCTCACATCCAGATTACTCTGTAAATTTCCGGTTAATTCTCCCATTATTAACCACTCCTATCTGATGCTTGGGTGGAAATCAGTTCACCTGAGAATACCACACTAGGACTGTAATAAATCTACGTACTTCTCATATAAATAATCACCCATAGATGCATATATATATATACGAGAGGTTTACAATTCTTAAAACACGTTATTACAATTATTTTATATTCTTATCCTTCTCTAAATAGCCTAACATCTTATTAGCAATGGTGAGTCAATATTATTGAAGTGATTTTAATGGAGACAAATTTCAACACGTATTCTCTACAGGATCAAAGACTGTCGTGAAACACTGTACATAAGAATGACTTAGACACGTGTATTCTTGGGTGGAGATGAAAAATGTTGCAGGATAATGACTTTACGGATAAAACGCCTTATTCCTACCTAAAGCAACCATATCTCCACATTCAATGTCGTTAGCCAAGGCTCTCATTACATCTTCCACATCATGATGTCGACCATCTTTATTATAGGCTATATACAAATGATGCTGAACCTTCTTAGGCAACAGATTGAGATGGTGTAGTTGATTGTTCATGCTGCAGTCTTTCTGGTGAAGAAATAGATAACAGAACAGTTTATTACTATCGCATAAATGAATTCTGTTTCAAACGACAAATATTGATTAAGATCAATCGACCGATCGTTGTAACAATGAAGTATATATAAAGTTCACTAAATTTTAAGAAGAAATATGCAACATATGAGAAGAGGTAGCTACAACAGTAAACAGGTTTACCAGTTAAAGACTGCTGGTTTCTTACTGTTGATCACAGTAATTAAAACGTGTTTTATCTATAAGTAATATAGTCAAACTTTGTAACAAACCATTGGTAAAACTTAAATAAGACAATGTTAGTAGTATAGATAATAAATTACAGTCAAGACTCTGAAACTTTGTAACAAACCATTGGTAAAACTTAAATAAGACAATGTCAGTAGTATAGATAATAAATTACAGTCAAGACTCTGAAACTTTGTAACAAACCATTGGTAAAACTTAAATAAGAC